ACTCCAAATTGAACAAATTCTCTTTTCAAGGGTCTCTTTTCTGACCCTTGATCCTTGTGGTTTTTTACCATCAGCTCTCCATTTCAAATACCAGTAACTCTTGGTCGATTAAAAAAAAACCTTGCCTTCTCTTGAAGCAAGTGAAACTTACACTGTTGTGATATTTGTCTTCAAATTATGCTGAATGTTAAAAGTCAATACTTCATGGTTCATATTTTGAGCTAAAATATATTAAATTTAAAAAATCACTACTGCAACCCAACATGTAAATCAAAAAAGGGAAAAGTACTTCATTCCATTTATTAAAAAAACAACATTTTGGATTCACAGTGATTTGCTACCTGTAGGAGTGTCCTGGGATTGCATTACTTGTTGACTAATTACAACGTGTTTACTTTTGCAGAGTAGGCAAACAAGTCACTTAAGAGACAAACAAGCAATTTAGTCATAAGTGCAGCATCTTCCAACTAGATGCCCACACAGCTATTCGGCTTCAGGAAGACAGGTGTTGCCTAAGCCATTTGGGAAGGCAGATCAACAATGCATGTTGCCACTGTTTTGCATTCGTGATGCAAGAAACATGACAGGTAATTAAAATTCAATTCCAAGCACAGAAGCAAAACTGCCTGCCCAACTTCAACTATCCACTATCTTTCTAATGACCTGAATTCAAAAGCCCATGTTTTCACTGTTAAATGGTTCATTTGTTTGGCTTAGGGTTACGTATCACATTTAATAAAAGTGTCATGAAGGACATGAATGAACTACTTCAAAAGTATTGATGTAATGGAAATTTCAAATAAAATATGCACATAGTAAAGGTTAGTGGGGAGGATACATCTTGTTCTTCTTAGTCTCCTGAGAAATACTATCAAAGTATCTTAATTTGTTGCTGTTTTCTACAGCCTTACACTGAATGAAGTACAGCCTTTTTTAAAATGGCAGTGGGGGTTATTTAGGGCTCAGAAGACTATTTGATGAGATGTTTTGAAAAAATAAAAAGTTGTTGAGGAAATTAATGCCCAGACCAGCACTCCTTGCACACCTAGAACTTTCTCAGTTGCCTTTTCAATAAAGAAAATGTGCAACCATTCCAATAACAGATGGTGGAAGCAGTGGTGGGATTCTAATTTTTTTACCACCAGTTTGGTGGGTGTGGCTTGCTGCGCGCACGTGTGCAAAGGGTTTCCTACTGACCTTCTCTTGCAATCCTGCACTCTCCCTGTCTGTTAAACAGCTGATGTTCGGCAATCCGTTGTGCCGTGCAAAGCAACTGAGCTTTAAAACCAGGAAACAAAGGTCAGTATAGAGCCGGGGTGGGCGGGTCCAGCAGCTGACTGTCAGAGTTAACTAGTTCGCTCACAGATGATCCTTGGAGCTACCGGTTGGGCTGAACCAGTAGAATATCACCCCTGGGTGGAAGGTAGAATCAGTAAAAAAAACATTAAATGAAATTTCAGTATATCATGGCCAGTGCAATTCTGTTGTCTTGGGTGCAGTGAAAAGCATTCTCACAGCAAAGTAAAATATAGGTAGTCCTTGACTTATGATCAGAACTGAGCCCAAAATTTGTTGTTAAGTGAGATATTTGTTAAGTGGGTTTTGCCCCATTTTATGAAGTTTGTTACCAGTTAAGTGAATCATTGCAGTTGATAAATTAGTAACCCATTTGTTAAATGAATCTGGCTTCCCCATTGACTTTGCTTGTCAGAAGGTCGCAAAAGGTAATAAATAACATGACCTTGGAAAATAGCAATTGTCATAAATATCTGTCTCTTCACAGGTCTCTATATCAGTGTTGTCAAATTGTCCATCATATGATCAATTCATAGGATCATCAAATCAAGTCAATCATATGGCTCTTTGCAGTCTCCTCATATTCCCTCACAAACTGCTGGTTAGGTAGGAGCCCACTTACCTAAGCGTCTTAAGTATGGTTCACTGAACTGTAGAAAGGATTACCCACAAAGCAACTTAAATATTAAAATATCAAAAAACAGGTCTTGAGAACAGATGACTGTGATGCTGTATTAAACTGCATTGTCAAACAAATAAACCTTCCCTCCTCAAAATAAAATCATGAATGGAAGATATGAGAAAGAATATCTAAAATGGAATTTCATTGGAAGATATAAGAAAGAATATCTAAAATGGAATTTCATTGGACCGGAATGGACAGGTGCATGCACTATAGTTCAAAGTCCCTGGTTCAAAGCTTACTTTAGCAGAGAATACAGTAGTCAGCTTTTGATAAGACAAATAATCCAAGCAATATCACATTTTAGTATCCACCATAACACAAAATTAATACCATTCTAGATTTTGATGCTGCAGTATAGCTACTGCAATAAAATATATGAAGAGCTTCCATTATTCCATTATATGTTTTTGTTCCAACTCAGATTAAAACTATGTTTCCACATTTTAGTCTAAAAACTACAGTCCTGTATTTATTATTTGGATTCACCACTAGATGTCTCCAATAAACAATTCTTATTAAAACAGAATTGTCTAACCATTCTAACCAATTAGGCAGTTGTCTATTAAATTAATTATAATACAAAATTAATTTGGTAGTACTGATAATATATGAAAAATTCCGGTCCCAGAGATGTTTTGCCAGGTATCTTCATCGTCCAAAGTTGTGAATAAATATATATGGTTGTACAGGTCAAATGTAATTTAACAGCAATAATATACCATATTTTTCAGACTGTAAGACACACTCCCCCACCCCCACCAAAAGTGGGTGGAAATGTCTGTGCGTCTTATAGAATGAATACAGGCCTGTTTTTGGCCTCTCAAACCCTCCGCACGTCCCATTTTTGCTACCTCCGACATACAGAAGCACTTTGCAGGCTAAAAACGGGATGCATGGAGGCCTCAGAAGGCCAAAAATGGGCCTGTTTTTAGCCTGAGGAGTGCTTGTAGATGCTGGGGAGGGCAAAAACGGGAAGTGTGGAGGCAAAAAACTATTTTTTTCTTGTTTTCCTCCTCTAAACTTAGGTGCATCTTATGACCCGGTGCGTCTTTTAGTCTGAAAAATACTATCATAAATGGTTGGAAATGACTGCATATTTGAATCAATTAACTGTTAATGTGAAACACATGAATTTATTCTTTATCTATCTTAGAAAGTCTGGATAACTTTTTTATTATGTCTTGAGAACTGTATTGCTAAATGTACCTAAAGCTCAATTTTATTAGTTTCACAATGAAATTCTTTGTGCCTTGGTGAAAATGTTTGAGTGGATAAATGATAAAAATACATTGTTTATTAAAAACAATCTGAAGATCACTTTTCAATGCAAATTCACATTCTAGATAAGAAAGTGCTCTGTATTTAAAACAAAGATGGATGAAATTGTGATTGCATCTGTGCAGGGAACTTTGCCAAAAGCGATTTGTCTTTTACCAAGGACTTGGGGACTTTAAATTTAACAGCATTCTCCAGTGAGCCATGCTGGCTGGGGAATTTTTCATGTTGAACTTCAGGTATCTTAAAAAGTTTCCAAGATTGGAAAACCCCGCATTACAACATTTAAAAAGTGTGCAAATGGAGTCAAAAAAAGCCCTCTTCCAGTTTCCCAGGAATTCTAACCTAGTTAAAATGTGTTTCTCAATGGGATCACAATTTCTGATTATTATAAGAGATTCATTCAAACTATAAGCAGAGGCTCACACTGCTCAAATTCTGTCGGTACTATGTAAGAACTTGAATTGATATGTATAATCATAAAAACATTTCCCTGAAGCTGATGAGTTTTTCTGTCCGGCAGAGGTAAGCATGCTAGGTCCTCTATTTTACACTACCACTTTCATTATTCCAGATTATTAATCATACTTGTCAAATGCATCAAGTTTAACTATCTCAGCCTAGTCAATTCACATTGTAAGAAAATACATGAAAAAAGTGGGAGGATTACATTGATAACCTTGCATCTTGATCAATGCAAGCATCATGTCTCATTTTGGAAGCTACTATTCAACACTAATGTTTATAACAAATATTAAAAAATCAAATATCATTTTGATACTGAGGGGGGCAATAAGTTCTTGCATAAGAATGATAGAATACCTATGCAGTCTTTCTCTGTGAATACAATGCAAGCCATTCTTTTGAAAAAAGCAAAAAAAATTAGGCATAAGTTAATAAATCTGAAAATCTTGACTTTAGTGAAGTCAGTGTATTTGCATGCTATGATTTATGATTCAAGCAAACCAGGCCACAGTGATGTACTTAACACATTGTGTGAGCTCTCATAAATGGTCATCTTTTGTTCAGATTACTGCTAGAAAGTAATATAGAGTCTAGACTCTAGACTAGATTAGAAGTAAGCCAGCATGTTGAATGGTTCGGGAGGGAGGATTTCATCCTTCATTAGGTTCACTTTTTATGAAAATTGAACGGACCCCGCTCCGATCCGAAAAACAGACAGCAGGTAGCCCGCTGTGCCTGATAACGTTGCTGCGAAAGTTGCTTTCGCTTCCCTCGGACGTTTGCAAAAGAAGGCGGAACAAGTTCGCCGCTAATACCCGTGTTTTCTGAAAAAAAGAAAAAGAAAAAGCAAGCTACGTAAAACGTGTCTATCAAAATACGCCAGATTTACACCCAATGGTTGAAAAGGAAGTTCTAAAAGCACTGGGTAACTGAGACCGCCCCGTGGAGCTCTTTCTAAATAGATGTCATCTACCCAACTCGGCGAAAGATCACCCTGAGCCGCCCTACGGGTGAAGGAACAGGAAGGCCGGCCAGAAAGGAGCCATTGGGTTACCTGCGCTTCCTTTTCAGGAAGCCTCCGGACGGCGGGCCGACCTCTCTCCGGCCACGCACGTGCGCTGCGGCGGCCATGTGCGCCCTGCTCACCAGGCTGGAGACTGGGCGGGCTCAGGAGGGCGGTGCTGCCCTCCGCCGGGGAGGATGAGTTATACAACGGCTCGGAGTTGCATAAGCGCCCGAGCCCAGAAATAGTCGCGGTAGCCCGCTCGGGTGGCTCCAGGGAGGGAGCGCGCGCCGTCCGATTCTCCTCCCCCTGACCCCGCTGCCGTCTCCACCGCCGGGGACCGCCCGAAGCAGGGCTGGCGGCGCTCCTGAGTCGCCCGGCCCTCTAGCGCGAGGGTCAGAAGCCGGGCTGGGCCGGGGGCGATGGAAGGCTACGCTGGGACGATTCCCCGCGCCGCCTGCCTTCGCGGAGCCTGAGTTCGAGCATGGAGCCATAGCAGCCGCAGCACCCCGCCGCCGCCGCCACCGCCACACCCACTTGGCTTCTTGGCGGCGACAATGGAGCTGGGGCCGGCCGCCGGGCAGCCGGCGCAACAGTATCCCCACCATCCCCAGGCCCTGTCGGGCGGAGGTCCCTGCCCGGAGATGCTGCAAGTGGCCGAGGAGGCTTTCCGAGGCGGGCAGTTCGCGCTGGCGGCCGAAATCCTGAGCTCGCAGCTGGCTGAGCTGCCGCAGCCCGAGCGGGGCCTGTGCCTCCGCCAAGGGGACGCGCTGGCCCGCGCGGGGCGCATGGCCGAAGCGTTGGACTCGTACAGCGTCGCCGCTAGATTGGCCCGCTTGCGTCCCGAGGAGTTACGCGAGCTGACCGAGAGTTTCGCCCTCCTCGTCCGCGACAAGGAGCTGCGGCTGCCTCCCTGGCAGGGCCCTGGGAGCGGCGGCGCCCCCGAGGCGGCTGAACCGCTGGGGGACCCCGCTTGCTGCCGCCCTCCGGAGCCTCTTTGCTGCCCTTCGTGCCTGCGTCTCCTCCACGAGCCGGTGACTCTGCACTGCGGGCACACCCACTGCAAGCGTTGCGCCAGGAGCGGCGGCGAGCAGTGTGTCCGCTGCGTCGCCCGGCGTCCCGTCTCCGCCTGTGCCTCTTCCGCGGCCCCCAGCGCGGCCGGCCAAGCCCCCGCCGGCCTCCGCGTCAACGTGGTGCTGGGCAGTTTGCTGGAGAAATGGTTCCCGGCCGAGAACAGAGCGCGCCGGCTGTGCGCCGAAGGGGATGCCTTGCGGGAGAAGCAGGATCTGGCGGCCGCTTTGGAGAAGTACAACCAGGCCCTTGAACTCGGTGAGTGCCCGTTCGCCTCGCCCCCATTTACATCGTAGTCGCCTTGCTGATTTCCTTCAGTCGCCGGGAACAAGCCAATTTTAGAAAAGACTAGCGTGACATTTAAAACCTCAGTGCTGTAACAGTCATAAACCCACTTTTTGGGCCCACAAAGAACGGAAGAGGAGGGGGTGGTGAAAAAATAGGTCGACTTGTATTATTGCATGTTTGCTCTTAGCTAGGAAACAGGTTAGTGGGGAAGGAAACTCCACTGTAATCAGTCTCCCAGTGTGAGGTATTATATCTTCTTAGGCAATTAAAAGGCATACACCACACTTGCAAAGTTGTTCTGCTGGTCTGCTTTGAGAGTCTGCATTTTGATGTTATGTTTCAGATATAACCATTTCTTAGAACTATTCTATACTGTTCTGTGCATCTCTCTCTGTGCACTGTTGACTATTATGTGCGTCCCTCTCTGTGTTAACTGCTGTAACCTAAAAGAACTTAGTTTAGATCACTTTTCCTGCAATACAAGGCTTGTACGATGAATTGTATTACAAAAGGGAAGCCATCAGATAAATACATTTGTAGTGCAGTCCTGCTTAGAAGTGTCACACAGATCTGAAAATGTCACATGAGAAGTTGATTCATTCTATCAGATTTCACAATTCAATGATATTGGTAGTATTGTTTTTAAAAATTGGAAGAAGAGGAGGGGTAAATGTGATCCTTTTTAATTACATTTTCTGAATATCATAAGAGCCAGCATAAAATGATTTGCATTCTTCCACATACTACATCATAGAAACAGCCAAAGATTTTCCTAGTTATGCAAACAACTCTCTTTAGTTTGATGATTGCAGCTGCAAAATAATTCCTTGTTAAATATAGTGTAAGGAATGTACTTCTCCAAAACAGACATGAAATTGTGTGATAATTAAGCTGAAATCTTAAATCTTGTGTGAGTTGTTAAATTTCTTGGCGTAAATGGCAGCAAGATATTCTGGGTCTGATGTGTGAATTAAATGTAAGTAAGAAAAAATTCTATTTGTATATTTGTCTATTATATAAAGCCTAATTTTAGTACTGTTGTGAGAATCTTAGTGAAACAGCACAGTGGAAAAGTTTATATATTGGAAACTTGGGAATGATTTAGTACATCTGAAACAGCACTTATTAATCAGGACAGCTTTTTACCTAACATCTTTTTCCTGCCAACTAATAATAGCCAATCTGATTTTCATTATCTGTGTTTCCGCTAGTCATAGAAGTAGCTGGAAATGAATGCCATAAGTATGGGTATGGGGGGGGGGGAAATTATGAAACATGCACAATGACATCATTACATAAGTGCCACAACTTACTTACAAGCATCGGATATTGAGTGCAAGGATGTAAGGATGGCATATGTTTTATGATATCATTATGGTGTGCTGTGTTAATCATTTTATTACCATTGCAGTTTGCTGCAGATGGTGCTTGGTTCTTTTCCTTTGGGGCAGAATTCCTAAAACAGCATTCTGTCAACAGATATTCTCCAGATACATTACAGTCAACCACTTTCATCCCTAGATGAACAATCATGCTAGTGAAGATCATGGGAATTACAGTCAGAAATATCTGGGCACCAGCAGGTAGGAAATGCCTGCTTTAAAATGTGTATGTCCCTGTGTTAAGACATAACTTCATTGCCAGTCCTCTTAATTCAGACCAAAACATCTAAGAATTTCCTCGACATTTCTTACAATTTGGTTGCAATAGTATATGTCAACATTTTCATTATATGGAACAGGCCAGTATATTTAATTACAAATTCAGTTCAGATAATTCAAGAGTAGAAATAATGAGTACAGAATTGCAGCTGACAAAAATCAAATAATTTGCATCATCATCATTGCAACACAATAAGAAAGAGAAGAAGCATAATAATATAGTCTATACTGCAAAATACAGACATTTTGAATGTTTGGTGTTGAATGCTGCTTATGAAATTTGATGTATGCTTCTTATACAATCATCTAGTTACTACTCTAAATTTTACAGGTCAATCTAACCATTGAAATTCAAGTAGAGAAAAACACTATTAGTTTCCTGACATGTTCTTCTAACTGAGCTTTCCCTGGCTAACCTAATAGACTAGGGAAGAGTCTTACACGGAAGGAGGCGTGCTCATTTTTTCTGTCTGCTGTTTTTGCTCTTCCCAATAGACCAAAATGTACTTTAGTTGAACTGTTATTTTCCATTAGTTTCCAAATAATGCCATTGTAGAACACATGGGCATTTTCGAAAACAAGGTGTTTCATGACTTATGTTGTCCACCCCGAGAAAAGTTTATATCTCTGTAACATGAACATCAAAATTATCTTTATAAATTTAATAGGCAACATAGTATAATTATTTTATATTTTCCCTCTAACATTGCTAATAAAAAGCTTTTTCACAGTCATATTAGAAAACATTTAGAACAATGTTAGATTTTTCAGTTTTGTAATTTGATAAGAAATATATGGACAAAGTTTGAGGGGAAAACTTAGTTAAAATGCTACAACCTATGAAATTATCTTATTTCCTCCCTTTTTCCAAATACACAATGAGGGTGCCCCTTTTTGATGAAAGATACTTATATTTATCTTGAAAACCATAAACTCAAGTTAGGGTGATTTAATGACTAATAGGTCATTCTGAAACTTAAAAACTGTTTTGGCAACACTCTGATAAGCGTACAATTACCAATGAACACTTTTAAAAGTGAAATGTTAGGTAAACAAAAATATAATTCTGAAAGATATGATCACTTGATTTCAGTGGTTTTATATCTTACTTGCAAAAAGTATGGATTTTGAACAATTTAAGTGATTAGATGCTTGTGATACAAGAAAAATAAAGTTGCTAAAAAGTTTTTTTTCCAAAATGTTACCATAGAACTAAGTTTCAGCTGAACTCAGCCAGATGTGAAACCAGTCCTAATTCTTTGCTTTGTTTTTCTCATCCTAGTATTCCTAACATATATTACCAGAGATGGCTAGGCAGGATTATAGAATTTATACCAAACATGGCCATCCCAGAAACTCTGTAAGTTCTTCTAGAAGAAACACATGCTTCCTGTGCCAGGAGAGCGCTGCAGTTTGGTCACTGATTGTCCAGGACAGTTCTCTCAAGCTAAGGAGAGCTTTGATTGTATTGGTGTAGCTGCCATCTTGACTTTTTTAAAAACTTATTTTGCCGACACCCCACTCTACAACCCCACAGAACTCTAGAATTGGGTGATAGGAATTTATCTTTGTCATTGCCTTTCAGTGCAATTTATATTTCAGATCATCTCCTTTCTTGCAATCATGTCATGTTGGCCTCTTGATCCCCTCCAGTTGCTACTTTACCAGGTCTTGCTGACAAGGTTGCTGCTGCCAAGACGTATGATGCTGTTGTTACATAGCATCTTTTCTTAGTTGGGATTATAATGTGTTGGTTGGATTTCCCCTCTTCTTATAGTTGTCCTTATGTTTAGATTTGTGAAGCTATGCTTTCAAATAACTCATGAAGATTGCTCAGATCCGTCAGTGGATTTTTCTTTTTACTTATATATATGGGAGAGAGAAAGTTTCAGGTTTCGATCCCGGTACTTCATTTTGAGTTAAAGAAAAGCACAGATGCAGCTGCCTGCTTCATAGTGAAGCAGTGACTTGTTGATACTTCCTGTCCCAATTTTAGGCTACCAGGTATCTGATATAAACTCAAAATCTTCTTTAACAAAATCTACTTCTTAGATGAACAAAAATAGACTTAGAATTACAAATGGAGCTCATTGTCAATGGCAAGGATTTCTTTTAAAATACTAAATAAGCTAGAAATAAATATTTGCACAGAAGAGATCTTGCAGAGCATTTGATAGAATATAGTTTTAATCAGATGTCTAAGTGATTTAAATGTAAGCTTCAAGAGCAAACCTAACTGTCTCGCACAAAAATTTAATCCATTCAATTAATAATGTATTTAAACTTATTTATAATGTTTGTTGTTAAACATGCCACAGATCTGTTTTTTTTTAAAAACAACAACATAAGAATGTGTCAGAGAAAGTCAATCTTGCCACACGACATTACCTAACTTTTGTTTAAATGTGATTACAGCTACTTTGTGTACCTAAGGTAGAGGATATGTGGAAATGCACATAATTTACGACAGGTTTTATCTACATTCTAGAGTGTCTGTACTTTTTACATTGGAAAGCATGAGGTCTAATAAATGGGATCCAATAGAAAACAAAGCCTGAATTAATCACTCTGTATCAAGTTATCAACTGTGAAATGCTTTACTGCCTTGCAGTTTATGACTCATCCTGCAGCATTTCTAGAAAAGCCTTTTCCGGTTTATGATGAAAACAGCCATATGTAAAATATGTTGGTACTGCTGCTTTGAGACAAAATAGATTCATTGCAGGACCGTTACCTTTGACCTCTACTGGTGAAACATCCAGAATGATTTATTTATTAATGATTTTATCCAAAGTTTCTAACCTTTTCAGGCTTATGTACCAAATATACAGAGTAAGCAAGAGCCAGCTAAAGTCAGATAACAATTACACTTGAAATTTTTCTTTGTTCAGAAGGTAAAAAAACCTTTTATCCAGACTCTGGGTAAGGAGTATGGTTTCGTATGCATTATGCAGAAGCAAAGCTAGGATTACTTCTGAGTATAGGGGTTAGCAGAGCTTTATAGTTAAACAATGTCCTAGGGTAAGTAATAATTCCTGAATGTTGGCATAGCTGTATTACTATAGCTGTACATGTACTGTATTTACCAAAGAAGGATGTGGAGGTCAGATGACTGCAAATAAAGTTGGATGCATTTGAAAATCAGCCTTTACGGTTACAGGAGAAGAGCTTTAATTAACTAATGAATTAATTAATTAATTAATTCAATTTGTATAGCCATCTACCTCTAACCAGTAACACTGGGCAGCATACAATCATAAAGACAATTTAGACAATACAAAAGAGGAATTAAATTCAATTAGCAGCCAA